GGAGAGGCCAGGGGCTGGTGGATGCCACTCAGTGGAGCAGCCCCCGGGGGTGCCGAGGGCCGCGTGGACGGCTCTGCCTGGGGGTGGGGGACGAGGCTTTGGAGTTCTTCGGGGCGCGAGGGAGTTAGATGAGGGGACTGTGCCGGGCATGCGCGCGCCGGCCGGCTGATCTGAAGCTGCGCGAGAGCTGGGCTTTGAACCTGTGAGCGTCACGCGTGTCCTCCCCCCTGCTCAGCTCCTGCGTCTGAAGGACCCCGTGTCCACAGCCAGGGGCGCGAGCCCGTGTGACCCCTGCGTGCGCGAGCCGGGAGGCCGGCAGGCGGCGCCTGTCCTCTCAGGCCTCCGTCCCGGTTCTCTAAGCTCCCGGCGGCCATGCGCGGGGGCCGTGGGCACCTCCCGGACGTCCTCCCACACCACGCCTGGGTTCACTGCGGCCGGCCTCCCTACGCTAGCTCAGTCCGCTGGGGGAGCCTGGCCAGTCCCCCCTCTTCTCTGGCTCACAGTTGGGAGTGGGGGGCCTGGGCAGCGCCCGGCCGAGTGCCTGTGGGCTCCAGGCCCATCTCCGGGTTCCAGCACTCAGCCGCGGGGCGCTGCGAGCAGAGGCCGCTTTATTAAAGCGTTGTGAGAATTTAATTTACATTGGCCTCATCTAAAACAGAAAATTAATCTGTGGAATGATACTCTCTTTCTTGTTTAAGAAATTAAGGCTTTGGGGGGATCTGAGTTTTTATAATTTAAATTACTCTTTGAAAATTGAGTTTGCTCTATGGTTCATAGAACGCTCTGTCACATGAAGACTTCCAGCATGGCCCATTTAATTTGAAGTAAACTGATGCTACTTTTGAGTGATGGACTTTGAGCTAAAAATAGGTATTAGCTACTTTACAGCTATTTGCCAGAACACATAACACACTGCTTAATCTCCTTCTCTCTTGACTCATTGGAATTCTGTTTTGTTCTAGAACCCCGGACTGCAGAGGGCTGTCGTTTCTTTCGATGCTTCCTGTTCCTTCTTGTGTTTCTGTGTCTCGTGCTCCGAGCTCGGTCACTTTCTGCGCCTTCCTTCCCCGTGCCTGTCCGTCCCCATAGGCCAGATGTGCCGGGACCTTTGCAACCTCCGTGTTGTCTTAGAATCAGCACCGCCGTGCTGGGTCTCACGCGGTCCCCGCCCAGTCACTGGGGATGAGCATTGCTCAGGGTCTCCATACTTCCAACTTCATCTCTAGAAAGATTTCGTGTGAAGTACCCTTCCCTCCAGCCAGTGAACACCCATTTCACCCACATGCACTAATACCTGGTGAGTATCACTGTGGACTCCGCAGTCTGATGAACAGTCACACCTGGTGCTTCGTGCGCCCGAATGCCATCAGTTACAGCAAGACCGAGTGGTGCGGGCACTGGTCATGCCGGTTCCTCGGGCTGCGCTTCAGGTGTGTCCTTCGCGCGTTTTGCACTAGGACCTTGTCTTCTTCTTACTGATACTGAAGAATCCCTTGTTCCTTAAGAATACCAAGGCCTTAATATATTTTACTGAACGTGAGGCTTTTGGCACGCTTTAATAAACAGTAGTTATCTGTTTGTGAATTGGTGGCCTTATTTACCGTAGAAGTTTCTCCCTTTTTAATAACAAAACCACAGGTTTTGCGTTTCTGCCTTCTACCTTGAATATCTAGAAAATCCTGAAAGCAGACCACGCGCCATAGGTATGTATTTCTGCTTTTTACTCGTGACTCATTTTCCCCTTCGTAGACCCGTAACCCGCCTGGTCCTCTGGGTCAGCTGTATTGGTGAGAACTCCAGCGCGCTGTTGACCCCGGAGCGCCCTTCCTCCCGCCTGTGGGCCTGCTGGCGCGCGCTTGTGCTGCTTGTGTGTGGCTCCCATTAGCTCTGGTTTGGGCTTCGACTCTGGTCTTGCCCGCTGTCTCCACCTTGTCTTGCCGTGAGGATTTTTCCATTGTCTTAGACTTACGACTCTGTAGTGTAACACAGTTTGTTCTTCTTTTCCTCCAGTTTTTTCCTGGTAATTCTACCATTCATTTTCCTGAGGAGCCTCAGAATAGTCAGAAACCTTCTTTCCCCAAAAAATAACCCCAATGTGACTCTTACTGGGATTGCTTTGAACCTAGTAATTGTCTGTGACAGAATGGACATCGTTATCAATAAGTTTGCTTATTACAATAAATTATTTGTGTATAATATTATTAGATTATTTACTAATTTGTTAATAAGTTATTGATTTATTATTATGGAACATAATTCTTCCTCAGTGTATTCAAATTTATTTTATATCCCTAATAAAGTTAAACACTTTTTTACTTTTAGATCCTGTCTGTGTCTTAAAGCATTCTGCTGGTTTGTGATTTTGGTGAATTGTGAGGCTGGCCATATTTGCAGGGTGGAGGAGTATTGGCTTTTTTTTTTTTTAAGATTGTTTTATTTATGCTCACAGAACTGGGGTACAGGCCAGAGGTGCAGGGGGCAGTGAGGCTTCACCAGAGACAGAGTGGGGAGCAGAACAGGCATATCAACAAGGTGCACTGTTGAGGGGAGCAGCGGGCTGTCAGGAGAGGTCTGCCGCGCCATGTGGGTCACCTCCAGGGCAGGCGGGGATCGAACTCGTGCTGAAGTGGCTTTCGCTTCTTAGTGCTGTGCTTTAACCCGCTGCACCACCAGGGAGGGCCCAAGAGTATTGGCTTTTATAATATCTGACTAATAAGAAATAAGAAACCTCCTGTGTTTGGTATTTTTTCGATTCAGCCTTCTTTGTCACTGAAGTCCCACTAGTTTGACTGGTTATGTGATGCTTCTCCTAGTACACACCATAATGCATCACATACCTTAAGCATCATGATGCCCAGCTGTGGGTTATTGTTGGCTTGTACACAGCATATTTTTTTAATCTTTAAAAAATAGATTTACATATACAAGAACTGGGGTTCAGGCCAGAGGTAAAGGACTGAGAAGATTCACCAGAGACAGAGTGGGGAGCATAACAGACGGATCGACAGAAACACACTGCTGAGGGAGCTGCGGGGAGTCAGCAGCCGTCTGCCACGCCGTGTGGGTCACTCCCTGCCCGGGTTTCGAACTCATGCTGCAGTGGCTGGAGACAGCTGATAGCGCTCCGACTTAACCCCTGCGCCACCAGAGAGGCCCCGACGGGTAGCCAGTCCATGATCTGGCCACCATGTTGCTTTGCCTCCAGTGCCATTCTTTGGCATCGCTAGTGAGCCTGCCATGTGCCCGGCCCGGTGAGTGCTCCAGAGATTCAGGGGAGGCTTCTAGGACGCTCCTCTGAGGAAGGGCCTTCTCCAGTTGGGGTGGAGAAGTCAGAAGATAAACAGACACACAGACAAGAGCATCAAGGCTGGACATAGATGCTCAAGGGCGGTGGGCCAAGGGACTGTTGAGAAGAGGCCGGTGCCCGTCCTCGTGGTGGGGTGTGACTCTGCGGAGCTGGGGGTGCCACACCCAGACACCGAGAGGCTGGAATGGGGCGCTGTCAGGGTTTGCCACGGGCTCGGGAGAAGAGGAAACGGCAGCAATCCGCCTGTGCCTCGCACCTGCTCACAGGTTGCCCAGAGAACCCCCGGCACACCTGACCAACCCACGCTCTGCTTTACGAGTACAAAATCAAGGTGTTCTGGAACGTGGCTATAAAGCACGGCGGACTTGGGTAG